CTCCCGCAGGGTCTCAGAGTAGGTCAGAAACCACAAAGACAGCTCACAGATGGAGGTTCGGACGCCTTTGTCTTCTTAAACAACTAGGCCATGAGTGTGCTGTTTGAGCCTGCAGGCTGCAATAAAGCAAGAATAATATCTATTTTGATTCTTTTAATATTTTTATATGGAAACATCATAAGGTAAGCCCTCAATTTTTTTTTTGCTAAAAGATGAGTGCTTACTTAGCACTTTAATATTAGGAAGAAACATATTAAAAAACCTTTAAAATGTTAAGACTTTAGGACATTGTCTTGACTCACTGCTAGGTGAAAAATGCCTACAAAGTAAGTGGAAACTTATTTTTACATCCACATAGGCATTAAACTGAGCTACTATGTACAAGTTAGTAACAGGACAAAAGCCCCCTTGTCAGGCCCTCTTTGCCAGAGCTAGCTGGACCCCATAAAGCACGGCTGACACTTGTTTTATGAGCCTCTATGCTCAGGACTAGAAAATTACTGGAAGTGCCTGAAGGCACACGGGCTCCGGGAACTTATGAAACAGGGTGCGCTGGACGGCAAAGACTGGACCCTACACCCAGAGATCACATTGAAACGAGCTGCAGCCTATACGAGACCCACCGAAACATCCTGTTCTGCAACCACCCCAATCACCTCATGAAAGCTCAAAGCCCCCACCTCTCAGTGCTGGTGTGCCTCTCTGCACCTAGCCCTTCTCCTTGCTTGGGAAGTAAAATTAAAACTTTGCTCTCCGTGAATTCTTCCACAGCCCGCATCACCAAACATCCAACAGTTAGAAGTAGAAAAATGTTTATCCAAGACTGACATAGATCCAGGAACTAGAGACACACAGTGAACATGGAAAACTTTTCTCAGCTTCCAGAAATGCAGTTACTGAGGAAAATCATGCATCAGAGGTGGAAGGAAGGGGTTGATGAGCGGCCTGTGAAATTTAGTCAAGTGGCCAAGGGCCCTGTTTGGGTCTGCGTGGGGTCACTGTTGCTGATCAAACATCCCTTAGGAGGAACAGGAAAATTTCTTATCAGAAGGTCAGGAGAAACAAAAACATGTCTCAGAGTCTTTTCAAGTTTAAACACAGCCCCCTGTGTGTAAGATGCCCAGGGGGCACCCTGCATGCCACCCACAGCTCATGTTTCCTTTCTTTTCCTTTGTCAGTAACTCGGCTCAATAGTTACATTAAGTTCCAAGAACGGTAAAAATGTTCCTTATAGCCAAACCTTGTTCTCTGGGAAAATAGACCACAGGCAGGCGGGCTCTAGGTTATAGAAAGGCTACATTGTAAGTGTTTCTTGGAATATAAATAGTTTAGTCCTTGAAATTCATTCTGATAGAAAACATGCTGTGAAGGAGATTTATTCCCTTTGCAAGTTTTTGAAAGTCTGTAGAGGCATGGTTTCAATGACACCATTTTAATTACATTTATCTCCTTAGCTGTTTTTTTTTGAATATCAGTATTTTTGTGTCACAGAGTATCTAAAATGATTTTTCCCATCTTGCTAATAGGCCATTGCCAAGGAGGATGACCTCAAGAAATAAATATACCTACGTCTATACTTACCCAAATATTTTGATCCAGATATGAAGAATCTCGACTCCAGACTCTAGAAACACGTACATACTCAAGTCCACGTCCAACCCCACGTTTCCCCTGCTCCTCCTTAGCAATGACAGTCGATGGGCACAATGGGCCCGGCACGCCCAGACACTATACACTCTGTGCTGTGCTGCAGCTATACAACCCCATGAAAGAAAATAACTCGATCAGCCCTCTTGTCCAGAGGTCCCACCAAGCTGGAAGCCAGAAGAGGAATTACAGCCTGGTATTTTAGTAGAGCTATATAGCATTTAAAAATATCTCGAATTAATGATTGCCATTTACAAATTAGAATTATCTTACATACAAATCCAGATGTCTCTCTTCTCTTAATAAACTGAAGGCAGGCGAGATCAGGTCACATGCTGAATGTTCTTTAACGGCTGAATGGCTATTTCACGACCACTGAATGGCTGTGGGGTGCCACCCTCCCCACTGTGCCTCCTCATTCTACAGCAGGCAATGTTCCCCCATTTATATTAAAAGATTTCTGTCTGGATGCCTTTGATTTGCCAATCCTATTTTATTTTCTCTCAATTAAGAAAGAAGTGGTCATTCCTCTCAAAGAGGAAGTGGAAGACTGGCCTTAGCATTCTGATCTCTCCGTCATAGGTGTTAGGCATTTTCAGGAGCATCTGCCCTTTGAGTGTCTATGCTGCTTAACAGATCTGCAGGAAAACTTCAGAACGACTTTGCTGACTTACTGGGCTCGCAAGCAAATGGGAAAAACACTTCAAAAACTAACACACTGTGTTCTTGGCTGTTTTAGAAATAAGGATACAGGTAATTGGGAAAATTTTCTTTTTCTACATATCTGACATGTTTCAGTATATTTTTAAGCTTAAATTTATTGGGGTGACACGAGTTCATAAAATTATTTACATAAGTTTCAAGTGCACAATTCTATGATACTGCATCTGTGTATTGCATTGTGAGTTCACCATGCAAAATCAAATCTCCCATCACCCTCTGACATTCTAATCTGTATACTTTGATTTACTTTCTACTTTTGTCGACACTTTAAAAAGGTGTTCTTTTAAAGAAAATTAAAGAAAACATGCAAATGGTTATATCTAACCCCAAACATGGTTTGAGGTGGCGTTAGGCCCCCGTCACATCTCCCAAGCCAATGCTCTAAGCCATGAAAGTGTGTCAGGCAAACACAGATCCAGCAGAGGCCTTGCCCATCTTCAAAACAGATTAGCATCCTAAGACTCTCACGTACAGAAGTTCTGGAACCACCCCTTAAATGACATCTAAACAATCCAAATGAAAGTTACTTTTCCTCTCAGTCACATCCCCAGTTCTCCTGTAAGGCAAACACTGCTACCATACTCTTTCTACCCTTCTTGAAGCTTTTAAAAATTATCACTGGCACAACAGCTCAGACATTAAAACCGTAGTTTCTATTTGTATCTGATACAATACTCCCTTATCAATTTTTATCAGCTAGATATTAAGGAAAAACAAATTTACTCTAAACTGGGTTTTCCGGTTGACTGCCCTGGTTTTAACAATCTCTTTCAGTACCTCAGACTATTGAGTATAAGGTGATCTTTTAGCTCTCCTGCCCTCGTCCTTGGCTTCCCCAAGATGTTTTCCGAGTGTTCTCACAATTGTGAGGGGAAGCTTTCTCCCACGTGTGTTCTCAAACTGGAGACGCTGGAATATCGCTAGCCCTTTACCCATGTGGCTATTGCCATCTGCTGCTGTGATTCTTCTCATAGGCTCTAATTTACTCGTTGTATAGATATTACTAAGTGCATATCATACACTTTTGGAGGCGCTGGCCTGAAGTAGTATACAAAACCAAAATTCTAACTTTTGGAATGTACATTCTAGCCACACAATAAACAAATGAATAAAATAGATCACTTGATTTTTATGAGTCCAACAGAAGAGCAAAAAGTAGAAAAGGGGATGGGGGAGGGTACTATCATTAAAAGGGGATGGGGGAGGGTACTATCATTAAAAGGGGATGGGGAGGGTACTATCATTAAAAGGGGATGGGGGAGGGTACTATCATTAAAAGGGGATGGGGAGGGTACTATCATTAAAAGGGGATGGGGAGGGTACTATCATTAAAAGGGGATGGGGGAGGGTACTATCATTAAAAGGGGATGGGGGAGGGTACTATCATTAAAAGGCCAGCAAGGAAGAGCCCACTGAGAAGGTGACGTGACAATGAAGATGTGAGGCCACGCACCTCCACCCGTTACCTGTGTTTGTACGTCCCCTGTGCTGAATAGGACGTCTAGGTCTTTAATGATTGAAAAATATTAACAGAATATTTTGTGCCACATGAACATTATATAAAAAGTTCAATATCAGTGTCTGTAAATAAAGTTTTCTTAAAACACAGTCATGTCCCTTAGTTCCCTTTGTGTGTGGTCTCTGGCTGCTGTCACGCCACAGCTGCGAAGTTCAGTAGTTGTAACAGAGCCCTGGTCTGCACGAATGGGAAATATTATCTCTTCGGCCCTTTACAGAAACTTGTTTCTGACCGGTAAACCCAGAGGAAGCGTATTACAGATCTTTTTTTGTTTTTTGAGTATCTACAGACTTTCAGGTTAGATCTTTATATAGATTTTATCCTGTACTATGTACCTATACTAATCTAATTTAATGTTTTGCTTTGACTTAGAATCTCCCTAATATTAATATTATGATCCATAATTTAGTTTTGGTTGCATTTGATGGGTATGCCTTTGCCCATCCTAACTTTTATCCTTTCTAATTTAGATTATAAATCCCATCACATCAATAATTACATTAAATGAAAGCAAATTAACAAATACTGATGAAAAGATAGAGATTGGAAAAATTATGAACATATATGAATGATACAACCACGTTCGATCCATAAGGAACTTTAGTTTTAATGACACAAAGCACCTGAAAGTAAAAGAACAGGGAAAGCCACACCAGGCAAAGAGTAACCCTAAGCTAGTTGAAAAAGGCCATTCCAGTATCAGGGAAAAAGTCCACTTTCAGATCCAAAAATGATAAAATGGTCAACCCAACAAAAAAATATAAAGTACATAAATATATGGGTACCTGACAACATAAGCCCCAAATATATGATTTTTAAAGAAAAGACAGAACTGAAGGGATTAATAGAGATTTCAATAATAATAATTGGAGATTTCACTCTATACTTTCAATAATAAAAAGAGCAACTAGACAGAAAACCAGCGGGGATACAGAGAACTGAAGACGCCATAAACCAATCCGTCCTAACCGATATCTTGCAAACACCTCAGGCACCACATGGCATCACACATATTCTCCGCAAGTACAGGTGGAACATTCTCCACAACACACTGTATCTTAGGCCATAGATATTACTCCATAAATTTTAAAAGATTAAAATCATACAAAACAGCTTTGCACCGTGGCAGTATTGTAGCCAATGAGGTTTATCCAAGGTGCGATTATTGCTCATTAAAATCATACAAAGCACATGATAACAAATCAGCAACAAAAGGAAACTTGGGAAATTTGTGAATTACAAATTGGACAAACCTCTAAATTAAACGTACCTCTAAATAACCCATTCTGTTTCCAGTCACATGAAATACTCAGAAAAGGCGACTCTGGAGAGGTAGGGTGCACCCATACATGAGTGGTTGCCTGAGGCTGGGAGTGAGACCTGGGTTTACTTCCCTGTTTCCACCCTTAAAACAACATAAGGCGGGACTGTTATTACCCTGACTTTACTTACAATGCTATTTAAATAATAAGAGATTAAACTATAGGGTTTGGCACAAATAAAGCCCCCCTTTTTTTAATTACAGAATCATAAGCATGTAATTCTGTAACATAACAATATCACATTCAAGCACACCATATGACGTTTTAGGTGAAATGTTCAAATTAAAACTATAAATTATTACACCCATGTTATTTCCCTACCAGCCACACTGAAACAGAATTTACTTCTGCTGGACCTTGTATTTCTCCCAAGTGATGAGGCCAACAAGCATTAAAACTGGCATCTGGAGTCAAATTTTCTGAATCGCAATCCAATATTCTGATATATTTGAATGTTGCTGTACTTGCAGCCAATAATTTATTTACAATTGCTTATTTTGATATGTGAGAGTACATTTGTTAAACAGTGCTACCACCTGCTGGTAGGTTTTCCAATAATTCACATGATAGCAAATCCTAAAATGGCAAAACAAGCAAACAGACAAATGTAGCTGTAATAATAAACTGGTTATTCTTTTACCTACTACACTCTCTAGTTGTACTTCCATTGTCTCCTTTATAAAGCAGCAAATAAATCTTGGGAGATTAAATGTCTAAACCTTTCTCTTTTCAAGAATTTATAACTACATTAATTTTCTTTACCTTCTAGAATGCATATCTGGAATAATGTTTTACTAAACTTTTATACAATATGATATCAAATTTGTGCTTACCAAAACATAAACTGGTAATCCCCTATCTTGTGTGCACTGAAGACTCATCTGGTGAGGTTACTTAAAATGATGCATTTCTAGGTGTCAAGATCAATTCTATGTGTCAGCTGGAGTGGTTCCATGGAATGCTGAGATACACAGTGTTTCTAGGTGTGACTGTAAATTTGTTTCCCATGAGATTAGCATTTGAACCACAGGACTCAGTAGATAACCCTCCCAGAAGTGGTTGGGCATCACTAATCCATTGAGGACATGAATAGAACAAAAGACTAGAGGAGGAAGAATTCCCTTCCCTTTTTCCTGCCTCACAATTGAGCAGAGACATTGCATCTCTACTTCTCTCACCCTCAGGCTGGGATTTACAGTATCAGCTGATCTGGTTCTCAGGCCTTCAGACTTGGACTGAATTACACCTTGAGGTTTCCTGGTTCTCCAGCTTACAGATGGTAAATTGGGAACTGTCAGCCTCCATAGTCACAGGAGCCGATTTCTCATAATAAATTTCCACATATATACATCCCTTCCCCTTCATCTCCACTTACATACCCTATTAGCTTTGTTTCTCTGGAGAACCTCAATACACTGGATTTCTCTCCCTAATGTTCTAATTATGTCATTTCTGGGATGCAGTCAGGGAAACAAAAATATTATTTTTAATGAGCCCCCAAGTGATTCTCGTGAGCAAAGTTCCGACTTAAGCAAATGATTTATCCAGTTCTTGCCCATAGCTGGCTCTGATCTAGGTCAAAGAACCAGACAGTCTGATCAGGTCAAAAGGCTTTCTAAAACTCAGTTTTTCTTAAGAGAAATATGGGAACTGCAGAAGAATCCAATCACTAGATATTCTATAAGAAGTTTACATTGTGGACAACCTCTTTCCAATATTAAAACATTTGAATAGCCATTAAATTGATGTATGGAAGACAGACCCATATGTGGTAACTGAATTTTCACAGATGGGACAATTAGAAAAAGCTTGTTTTGGTATTGAGTCAGCAATGTTGTACTTCTAATTAATTATCCCACTGTACCATGAAAGAGTTGCTCAAAAACAGTTAACCTTAAAAAATAAAGGGAGAGAAGGGGAAAATGGTCAATACAACTGAGTTTAGAAAGTTAAAGATTAAAGTGATTTTGAACTAGATGTTTCGGAGAAACATACTTACCCACTCAGGGCCTAACTGAACAACGTCAGAGCAGAAAGATGATGTCCAGCAGAAACTGTTAAGAGATTCCTGGCTGTACCTGCATTAGTTTACAGCCTCCAGAGGCTGAAATCTGATTTACCACAATTAGAGAAAAACTAGTGAAAATTTAGCCTTATTTGAGGGAGTGTTGGACATGTACATGAAGGATGTTAGAAGGAAGTAGAGGCTGATTTGGGACACACTGACCTGGGGAAAGCCATTAGGTGCCTTATGATTCTCTATCCCATCAGTGACTTATAAAACCAATGCCGGCATCATATAGGAGGCCTCTGGCCAGTAAAACCATTTATGACCCATTAAAATAAAGACCGAGAATACAGTTCTCCCTGACCGGTGTGGCTCAGTTGGTTGGTCATCCTCCGGCAAAGCAAAGGGTCCTGGGTTTGGTTCCCAGTCAGGGCATATACCTGGGTTGTGGATTTGGTGCCAGGTCAGGGTGTATATGACAGACAACCAGTTGATGTTTCTCTCCCTCCCTTTTTCTTTCCTTTCCTTCCCTGCCTCAAAAATGAAACTGAAAAAACAGAAGTTCTATGACTCCTGCTCCCCACTCCTTTGTCCTCAGACTCACTAGCACTTAGTATTACATGTAGAGCTAAACTGTCCACATGGTAAACAGGGAGACTAGTTAGGAATGGGATGCTTAGGACTGAGTTAGCTGGTCAGGGGGCTGCCAGCTCCTGATTAAGAGTTTTTGATTTGCAGGCATGCTTTCGTCTGGTCATTAAGTCTTCCTCCTCATCCTCCATTATGTTAAACATCTCCAGCTGTTGATGTATGGCTGCAAAGGTACCTTTCAGTCTAGACAGATTTTACCTATGAAAGAATGTGAAACTGGATCTGATTGTCTCACACACTAGCTGGCAGTCCAATCATTATTCTGTTGACTGAAGGTCTCCAGTGATCTGCTATAGTCAAAGTGACAACAGAGTGCAGTCTACTTGGAACCTGACTGAGTTCCAACTGGAACATCGAACTGCTGTCCAAATGGGAGTGGTTCCGTGGGTGCATAACACCAAACTCAGGGAGTTACTTTTATTGATTGGTCCCAAGTACTAAAATTCAAAAAACAATATCTCTATTTGAACCACAGAAGAAAAAAAAACCCTCAATTTTTAATTTCATATTCCTGCCAAATATATTAAATACCTGAATTTAGAAATAATAGGCACTTCTGGTCAAAATGGAGGTATAGGTTACAACTAGACTACAAAACAAATACTACCCAGAGTGGTCAGAAAATCAAGATGTATGGACGTCCGACAACCAAGGAATTAAAGAAGTCACATTAATCCAGATGAACAGAAAGGGCAGAGATGTGGAGACACGGAATGGGCAGTCCCACGCCCACATATGAAGGATAAAAATTGTGACAGATACCTTGGAGTGAGGTACCCCAGCCCCACATCAGACCACCCAGGCCTGGGTTCCAGTGCCAGGAAGATAAGTCCCCCTAACTTTGGGCTGTAAAAATCAGTGGGGGTTGAGGTGGTGGAAGAAACTGCAGGATTCTCAGGAGTTTTCTCCTGAAGGGCCCACAATAGATTCAGAACTTATGCAAATTCACTCCCTCCGGGCTTCAGAACAGGGGCAGCAGCTGGAAGGATGCCAGTGGTACACTGAAAAATCGAAGTGTCCATCACCAGGGCAAGTTCCTCCTAGACAAAACTCCAGAGGCCAGACCCTTTTTAAGCCCTCCCCCACACAGAGCCACAGAGCAGCCACACCATATCCATCAACCTGGCTCACATGGGTTGCCCTACCCTAGTGATTACCTAAAGTTCCACTCCATTCAACCTACTGGTGAGTGTTTTCTATGACAGGCCACACTACTAAGGCAAGGAGTCAAAGCGGCTTTACCTAATACATAGAAACAAACACAGGGAATCTGCCAAAAGGAGGAGACAAAGAAATATGGCCCAAATGAAAGAACAGAGCAAAACTCCAAAAAAAGATCTACACAAAATGAATCTATCAAATGCAGAGTTCAAACACTGGTTATTAGGATGCTCAAGGAACTCACTGGGTACTTCAACAGCATGAAAAAGACCCAGGCAGAAGTGAAGCTTACACTAAGTGAAATAAAGAAAAATCTACAGGGAACCAATAGTGGAGTGGATGAAGCTGAGAATCAAATCAATGATTTGTAACATAAGGAAGAAAAAACAACCAATCGGAACATCAAGAAGCAAAATGAATTTAAAAAAACAAAACAAAACAAAACAAGAATAGGCTAAGCAGCCTCTGGGACAACTTCAAATGTACCAACAGTCAAATCATAAGGGTGCCATAAAAAGAAGAGAAAGAGCAAGAAATTGCAAACTTATTTGAAAAATAATGAAAGAAAACATCCATTATTTGGTGAAGGAAATAGACACACAAATCCAGGAAGCATAGAGAGTCCCAAACATCATGGACCCAATGAGGACCACACCAAGAAACATCATAATCAAAATGCCAAAGGTTGAAGATAAAGAGAGAATCTTAAAAGCAGCAAAAGACAAAAAGATAGTTACTTATAAAGCAGTTCCCATAAGACTGTCAGCTAATTTCTCAAAAGAAACTTTGCAGGGTAGAAAGGACTGGTAAGAAATATTCAAAGTGAAAAGCAAGGACCTGCAAACTAAATTACTCTGTCCAGCAAAACTATCATTTACAATGAAAGGGCAGATAAAGTGCTTCCCAGACAAGGTAAAGCTAAAGGAGTTCATCATCACTAAACCATTATTATATGAAATGTTAAAGGCATTTATTTATTTATTTTTTAAAGATTTTTATTTATTTATTTTTAGAGAGGGGATGGGAGGAAGAAAGAGAGGTAGAGAAATATCAGTGTGTGGTTGCCTCTCATGTGGTTCCCACTGGGGACCTGGCCTGCAACTCA